CATCCATCCATCCATCCATCCATCCATCCATCCATCCATCCATCCATCCATCCATCCATCCATCCATCCATCCATCCATCCATCCATCCATCCATTTTCAGTCACACTTATGCACTAAGTTAGAATTGGGTTTTATTATTTGTAGCATTAGTTCTCCTGAGATGGTATTTTCATGTTGAGGTGAAAATATTAATGAAAAGTTATTACTGAAATATTAATAACTGAAGTGAAAACCAAACAAAATATATTGTGAAGCCAATTGAATAGGGTCCTGTGGTTAAAATCAAACCAATTTGGAAAATCTGAATTAATACCCAGGTCTTTAGTTGCACATGGCATTATTGAGCTGCTTGTTTAAGCCCCTGTCACACCTTGACAATTTAACCAGCTTATGCATGATGTCCCAGAATCTTCTAAAACGCTGGCATACACTGAACTAGGTTTTGGATAAGCTATACACCACAACTTATGAGTATCGTGCACTTAACGTACATCAATGATCAGATACCTTACCTGTACCTTATGCCCCATGTATTGCATATGCTGGCATATGACGTACTTGCTGTATGTCGACGTGTGCCAGTGTGTTTCAGTGTGCTTCAGCATGCTCATAACTTTTACAAAACTGACCCATAACTTATGCAACATATGTCAGTGTTTTTGCCAGATTTTTCATATGCCAAGCATAAGCTGGCAAAATCGTCAAGGTGTGACTGGGGCTTTAGAAGTGGATCTGAAAAAAAAAAAAAAAAAGAAGTGGATCCGGAAAAAGGCAAGTAGGTTCAGCTGACTAACCACTAAAGGAATGTTTTTTAGCTATTGTTACCAGTTTGTGATATTCATTCATTACACCTACACATCAATGCCATTTAAAAGTGAGCATTTACTGCCGTCACACTGTTTTATTTTAGTTTGGCTATCTTAAGGATTTTGAGTGCTTAAAATCAATACCAGCTTCTAGCTCTGGCATAGCAAAAACCTCAGGAAGGGATGGGAATATTTAGCAACCCTGGCTCCCAAAGCTGGTCTATTCTTTGGTTTTACTTGTGTCCAAATGATTTTTTTTTCTCCTCTCAGCACATTTCTGTGTCTAAATACTCTCCAAGCTGTGGGTTTGGACCATCTCAGCCCCAGTTAGGGCCTGGCTCTGCCCACCCAAAATACTCAGTAATTGGTGTGGTACTGGATGTTCTCTATGCAAACCAACTCCATGTTGAGTTGAGGCACCAGAAAGATGAGACAAACAACCAATTTTGATATGCCCCAGGGTGTTTTTACTCATGTAGATGTCTGTGTAATCATCCATGCAATGGCAGGCATTTGTCCATGCTTTGTTACTGTGTTTATGTTGTATGGGCGCATGTTATAACTGGATAGGACTTTTGAAACTGTCTCTCCTGATAAAGGCCTCTTTGAGGAGTGGCACCATGTCAAGTATTCCATCTTCCCTTGGTTTCTTGTCTCAGGATGTGGAAATATTGTAGCCTGATATTTTAACCATAGCTTTTCTTTCTATGTTTGTTTCCTAGGTCATGTAAGGGTAGGCAGAGAGTCAACACTCTCTTTAACCCAGTGAAAAACACAAGGGATATTGGTATGAACATTTAGGGATAGTGATGCTGCGCTTTATCAAACACCTTGTGAGATAATTTTTGTTTTTTTATTCCTTAGTGTGAAGTGTTTAGAGAGGAATTTCAGGTGTGCATGAAATTAGAAACAGTCGGATGGAGACGGCATTTTTAGCAGGATTATGTGCAAGCACAAGTCAGCATAACTTTCCTTCAGGCTTATTAGATCTGCATGTTCTTGGACTGGGCTAAAAGAAAATCTTAGTTCTCTTAATCCCATTCTATTAATTTAGACTGATAATACTTATTATTTAGGGCCAGTTTACCAGGTGTTAGAGCTGCATTAAATTCCTTAATAATCAGCGCTACACTGAAAACAAAATCCTGTCTAGGTAAAACAGTATGAACATCTGCTGCAAACATTTATGTAACACAAACTTTTAAAAGCAAATTAAAAACACTTCTTCTTATGTATATTTGGGACACAAGAGGCCCAACTAATCAGCTAATCAGCAAGGATTGGTAAGCACTTTGGCAAATGAGAGACTTTTGACTTAGATTCTGTGGCATTTAAGTTAAAAGGCGTTTAACTTTACATGTTTTAGTGGGAGTTTAACTCCAATCACCACCAAACAATGATGGATATTGCTTTACTTGGCTGAGCTGAAGTACACATTGACAAGGACATTGGCCTTCCTCATTGACCTATTGTCTGGTATGTCTCTGTCTAAACGCTGAATAACATCACTTAATTGAACAAGTGTTAAGAAAAAAACAGAACAAAGAAAAATCGAACATATTTGTGTGTTGAAATCCCATTTTCAAATGTTTGCTATGCCAGACAATGAACATTTGCTGTTTTATTCTAGAAGCTTCTTTTGGCTTTGTTAATGCTTGAATTTTTAAACAGCAGTCTTACAAGGCTGCATTGGAAAACAATGGCTGAATTACAAGGAACAGGAAGAACTGCAATCCATTGTCAATAAACACCACAGATTCTTGGCGAGTCCATAAGGACAAAAGGAAGCAGTTAAAATCCTGTAATCAAGGAAGAGTAGAAAAACATTTTGCTTTCGAAACCACCATAGCTGGTTTTCTCACACTCCACTTGTTTGTATTGTCTCTAGGGATGGGAGCTATGTAGCGTGGTTATAAACATCCACCTGTTTTAGCATAGCATAGTAACACAAACGTCCCATATTGGGTCTTCAATACTGTGTCATTCTGCATGCTTTCTTTGGGTTTTTGGTCAGGAGGATGAGTTTAGTTATAGAAGACACAATTTTTATGGAAATATCTTCATAGCCTGTGAACCATAGGGTACCATACCATACTACAAGGTTCTTAGAGCCATTGAAATAGAATGGGGCCCATCTCTTTGACTGGACCAGCTGATATCTCAAACATATTCTCATCTTACCAATGCACACCATACCAGTTAAATGTTGTATACTTGTCAACACTGCGGCAGACTGACCACCTGTCTAGGGTATACCCCCACCCCTTTCACCCATAGACTGCTGAAGATAGGCACCGACCCCACCGCAAACCTGACCAAAAAAAGCTCGAGGAGATGGATGGATGGATGGATGCTTGTTAATACATCTGTAATAGTAATAATTTGATATGTAACAACTTACTCCCCTGATTAATCAGAATGTAGAAATGGGTAGGTATATGCAAGAACTCGTTTTTATGGGTATTTTTCAAAAGTATAAAGGTTAACAAACATCTGTCTTATGTGAATACCATGTTGTCAACTGTTTGTTTTCTGAGGGGCAATGAGAAAGGGAACACTGTCCTTTCCTATTCATATCCTTCTGAAACCAACGGGTATCGAATTATTCATTTCTAATATAATAGTGCAGATCTCAGTATTGATCAATACTGATATTTGCTGAATATACTATCAGCACGAATAATAAATAAGCCTGTTTTCAGTTCTTATTTTGTAGTGTGGAAAAAATAAAAAAGTCCTACAATTAAATAGAATTAAAAAATATGATAAATTAGAATACGGGAAGCTTGTGCATGAGAAGTTTACACTCATCTTTTTCAGATTTTTACTACAGTACAACCGTGCTGTGCATACAGTATACTGTAGCTTCTTCTCTAAGCGTCTGTTACTGTGTTTGTCGACACTATTTTTGTGATCACAATAGTGTGCAGCATGCAAGTACTGGTGGATAGAAATGCTGGAGTGAGCTAAATGATAGAAAAGAATGATAGAGGGGAGTGCTTCTACCGGTGTGCTTATACAGTATTGTAGATTTTAGATGCAGGATGATATAATGTAGTAATATTTTTTTTTTTTTGGCTGATATGAGTATAGGATAAGGACATCACTAGATATCACATTATTACAAAAATGATAATAAAAAAATCCTTATAGATAATTAGTTGTAAGTATAAATATAAGGTAAGTATAAATACAAAAATATGACCATCAAAGTAGTGCTATGTGAGAAAATCTTTTTGCCTTTTGAACTGAGATGGTTCAAAACTGTTCTTCACCTTCATTTTGGTAACTTGCCTCCCTCATAATTTTACTGTTGCATAGATTTGGTTCGTTTAGGTAATTATCTGTGCCTGCTTAGACATTTGTCTAGTGCTTTGAATAGTAAAGATATTGAAAGATGTGTAAACATTTAAAGGAAGTTAATGGAGTTGTATATTCTTGTTATTCAGCTGACGTGTTCTTTTTGGCTCACCTACAGGTTGTACTTAGTGACAGCCATAAATGTAGTGTCAGTCAAATGTAAGGAGAGGTCTGTAATGAGAACAAACAACAGGTTTGGTAATGGTCTGAGAAAAATGTCTTCAGAGTTGCGCTTGTGACCTTAAGTATTATAGATATCCCAAATATTTCAATTAGTTTTGTGATGAAATCAAGAGGTGAGGAAGTTTGAAGAGCGTCATGAATGCGTCCAAGGTGACATGGTTCCCTGCATGGAACAGGTGTGAGCTTGGGTCAGCATAGTTCATCAATAAACTATAGAGTTTAAAGCTTGTTGGCTAGTATTAATAAACCATTACTGGAAGGAGATCGCTCTCTGACAACTTAGTAATATGCTTTTTGTCACATGAAAGTTTAGTACTATATAGCCCTTAATTTTTTCCAGCAGATGCTGTTACCATGTGTGATCATATAAAAGCCGCTTTTTCTTAGCCTTGCTTTCCCCAGCTGGAACCTCTGCTGGAAAAAACCATAACCCTAAAAAGCAATGGTGCTTTTGTGGTAGAGCATTTGTTTGAAACGCATGAGACGTGTGCACATTTATAGTACAAGACGTACTCTTGCTCACATCTGTGCACAACTGCTGCACTCAGACACAACTATAATGTAATGTGATTGGCACAGTGTTGGAAGAGAGATCGTCCCTTTCACTCCCACGTTCTCATGAATAGCTAAAGGGAAATATTTGTCTGCCTCTGTCACCTGACTTCATGTTTTGTAGCAACTGAATGTCTCCAAAATACTCCTCAGGTATGTTTTAAGTAGAAAAAAAATAAGGCTTGGCAGGGAAGAGAGGTGGTAGTTTCTGGGTGTGAGAAGAAGAAGGAACAGCGGAGGGAGGCCAAATGTTGCTGCGTGCGTCACTTTTGCACTTGCATGGCAGGTTGGGTGGGACTTGTGCTGTCTCTGATGTCATTCTTCCTGCTTTGGTTTGGTCCACACCCTAATCCATCCCACAGGTGGCTTTGCCCCTGTCACTCAGCTCCTGTCAGGCAGCCCCCGCCCCCTCTTTCATCTGTCTCTGTAAGTGTGAGTGTGCTCTACTCTGGGTCACTTCTTATTTGCTGTACTCACACGCTCCTCCCTGCACACTCCTGGTCCCTGTGGTGGCCTGAACTTTGGAAGCAATCACATGTAGGCTGCTCCCTGTCAGGGAGTTTTTCTTTTCCTTTTTTTTTGAGTGATTATTTTCTGCCTCTGAACAGGGGGGGACAACAATCATTGCTGCTTTGTTCTCTGTCCAGGACAACCTTAACGTCTTCCTGAAGGCCTGTGGGAAGCTCGGACTAAAGGAGGCACAGCTCTTTCACCCTGGGGATCTTCAAGACTTGTCTACAAGAGTGACAGTAAAGTAAGTTATGGTCTTGGCTGTAAAGTTATGACATAGTCAATATGGCTTACTTTCCTTAACACCTGAAGACTTTGACATATATTTTCAACTTATAGAGAACCATCTTTCATTGTACTGCTGACTTCCAAACTTAAAGCGCTACAGAGCATACATTTCCTCATGTAGATTATTATTCTTGCTGTGTTTTGATAACGTCATTGCTATTTTCAATCTGCAGAGTTGGTTTTAACAGACCAGAGCACACCTGGATATGTTACAATCTGAAACAAGTGATCATAACACAATTTACAGGTGCATTTTAAAGGATCCCTCCTGCAGTAGTTTGATTGGACAAAAATCCTGCTTGAATTCCTCATTGGGCTGGTTTGTTTTCGTTTCAGGCATTGTTTTTAGTTTTTAGTTACCCGCCTGCTAGAGAGGCATGTTGACCAACCTGTTGAGTTGTCTGCTGAGATAAACTGTTTGTACAGTATTTTGCTGTGCAAGCAATAAGCAAACACTTGCTGTAACGAAATGAATCCTTAAAAATTATCTCATTTTTAAAGGGCTAAAAGCTCTTAGATACAGTCATTAGCTGGTTAATTTATGTAATGGGCCAAAATCCATTTGTGGTCTTTGTTGGTACCTCTGTACTTTCTGTCCAACAAGTCGAGCCCAACTTGATTCACATAATTGCGCCATTTAATGTCATCCTTTGTGGGTGTGTGTGCGTGCACCGCTGTGTAGGATGTACTCTGCACTCACTAAAATATGGACTCTAAACAAACAAATCTGCCGTCCTTTAATTGAGACACACCCTCGGCCCACAGCAGATGATACTTGGCGTTCAGATCCAGCTCACTAAACGTCTGAATCAGGGTCGTAAATGGACAGATAACCCTTTGAAGCGCGGACTGTTAAAATCTGTTGCATAACTATTTCAAAGGATTTTGGCTGTAAGGTATGACAATGAAACATTATATTCCTTTTCATGGCAGCCAGGTGAAACTAATATAGCAGTGGGTGATTCCATTTAGAGAAAAAGTAAGTGTTGGTTGGGAATATCCTGCAGCACTGCCTTCAGCTCGCTCTCCCTATGGATGTCTGTTCTATTCTTAGTACTGAGGGGTCATTTTGAGAAGCTGGATTGATTGGAATGGTACCCGCAGTCACAGTAGAGGAGCTTTTAATAGAATATTAGTACATTCTGCTCCTGTATACAGTCTCACAGGGTACACCTGTGTTTGTTTGGATGTGGCATTTAAAGTTGTGTTGGGTTTTAGCTGCTCTCTCACACAAATGTGGACATTGTCATTACTTGACACCATCTCGTAAATGTATCTGCAGCTATTTCTGCTCTTTGTTACTTTTTTTTTTTTCTAAGAAAGGTCTTAGATGCAACATTTGGGTCTAAAGGTATAATTACGCTTCTGTATGGCAGACAAAGAGGTAACATGAGTTGAAACTGCCAAAGAAGGCTGCAGACATGCAGCCAATGGCTTTATTGCTTTGGAGCTTATCGGAGTCTAGGCAAATTAGCTCCAGAGTGAGAAAGAGAGAGAGAAAGTTGTTTCTGTCAGCTCTCTTTACCCGTGGTGTTTGTCCAGCTTCCACTCCCTTAAACCCAGTCTGACAGGTGCCTCAATGCTATGTTACTCGTCGTTTCTAAAGGGATGTGGGTGTTATTCATATTTTCCTTTACATTCCCTTTTATCTTTTTACCCTCATAGCGTCATTTCTTTTTGTAAATGGCTTGTAAAATAATCTTAGTTTACCAATGGGAATCCAGTACAAAGGGTTAGCTAGCTAATGTTTCAAATAAAGCTCACAGCATACTTATGAACTCCTTATCAGAGAATTCTTTCATGTTAGTATTAGAGATGAACCGATTGCAATTTTGTAAAGCTTTTTATCTATATAAGGATGTAAGCCAACTTTGAATTCTCAAAATAACTATGATAAGATATCTTTAATCTAACCTTTTTGTCAAAAGCAGTCTTTGATCATTTATATTTTTAGGAGAAGTGAACGTTTGGGAGAATTGAGTGGCGAAATCTCGTATAGCGATGAGGATAAAGATCGCAGTTAGTATTGCTAACGTAAACGTCATCCTATGTTTGTGTCTGTGAGACAATGGAGATCTTTAACCTAACATTTACAGATCTAGCATGTTACATTAGAAGCAATATTTTAAAGCAAAAAAGGACAAATAAAGGACATTTAATGTCAGCCTTTCTATTATCTGCTAATGTCTCACTCTCTCTTTATGCAGCAGTATGAGTGAACCACTAACATGTCATCAATCATTGCAGAAAATAGAGTTGGCTTTGGTAGTGTTGAAGTTAAGACAATACCAACTGAGACCCAAGAGTACCAAGACAAGGTCTTGGTCTCAGCCTCTAAAGGTCTTGGCCTTTTCTCGGTTGCTCTGTTCTTGACTAAAACAATAGATTTTGGCTAGTCTGCTAACAAGTTTCTCGCTGAAGAGTTGTATATATAGCAATGTATTGTAGGGCATGGAGTGTTAAGAAAATTAAATCTGATTTTTAGGTTTGCATTCACCGTCAGAGGCAATCAAGCTGAAGAGCATCCAGTTCTACTCGCATTTCTTGTGAATAACCAAACACTGATATTTGGAGACTTAACAAACAGTCAAACAAACTCTACAAACAAATAATTTATAACTTGTTAAATTAAACTATTTAGTTGATTTATTCAATAAATGAAATTGCAGTGGCTCTTTTAAATTTGAGTCAGTGGCATTCAGGGGAGAACAGTCCTTATTGGATTTTAGATGACTGGTCTTGGATATCGTTATCTCGCACTACAAACTGGAGTCAGAACCCGACTGACACAAAATGTGGTTAGAGCACAGTTTAATTCATGCAACACACTGTTACAAAAGCCATAAAAGAATATTGAATTTCTTTCCTGACCTTTGAGCTTCGAAGATGCTGTAGAATTGACGTAAGGCTTGCTGTGCTGTAGTGCTTTGTGTTGTGCAACCTTTGTCCTGATAAAGACCTTTTGTCAATCAATGGCTTAGTCAGTATCAAAATTATATTGCAGCTCAAATTCTTGTGATTGAGAAACTCCTGATAAAAAGGGCTGGTTGTGCTAAAGGACTCTGAATCACCCAAAGATGGTAATGGAAGTATAACTAAGTAAAAATAACACCTTTAATGTCCTGACCAGAGTGGATTTAATGCATCATAGGAGACTGTGATTCATTTCTATTTTAAACCAGCCTTTCTATTTTTGTTCATCTTCACTGGGAATTATACTGATCTACATGACTCATTAAATATAATGGTGTTTAATGGAAGTGGAAACCACTTATTTGCTATTTGTTTTATTTCGAGAAATACTCTACATAGGCTACCCCTCTTGGACTACCACTGTCAAGATCTAAATAAACTAGCGCTGTTAAGATCTAAATAGTCATAAATGATCCCCATATAACTTTATTTACAGTTCTTGTCAACCAGAATTGTTTAGTAGGTTAAAATTTTTTTTAGATTTCAACATCAAAAATATCCATCTATGTCTGTACCTGTACTTGCTTAGTACTGACAAGTGCAAAGACCGTAACTTTCAATAGTTGGTTGGGAAACTCATATTTTTTATGTGAAAACAGAAGGACTAAAAAGAGAATCAAATAAACAGTTTCTATTAATCCTATACTATATCAATTATATACTTTAAACAAAGCTTTTAAACTAGTGGACCTCTTCTAAAAGGTCACATACTTTATTTTGTCTTATTTCCATTTTTCATTGGAAAATGTGCTTTCTGAGCATGAAATATTTTTTTAATGCGAAGCATAATATGTGTCTCATAGGTGTACTAACCCATTCTGCAATTTACCTGGAAACTTTAAACTGTCTGACGATAACATCCTTGAAATTAATTGAATAACTGGTCAGATATGTGGTCTAAAGTACACTTATTGATGATGTCGAGGATTTTGGCGAATTTTTTAAAAGATCTGCCCTCTCCATTTAAAAAAAATGCACATTCACAACCCTGTACCCACTTCCGAAAAGGAATGCCTATTTAACATGTTCGAGAGCATGCACAAGGCCATTTCTTCTCATGCACGCTGTTTAAAAATTGCTGTTCTCATATCTCATACAGGCTTACCTTGCCTGAATGTCCCCCCTAACCCCTAAATCCCTCAATCAGTATATAGAGCGGGGACTATAGAGTGGAGTTTATTGCGAACTAAGTTAACTAACTTTTTTTTTCCTCTTATACACTTCGTAGACACCTTCTTTCTTACAATAAAAAAAAAAAAACGCAGTAAGAAAGGTGAGCTTCAATGACAGTTTGAAACCGTAGCTCACCACATATAAACCCCTGAGCACGTAGGATAGCCTTACATAAACATATCATCCGAATGATTGACAATTAGGAGGACCACTTGTTGAGATGATCCACCTGGAAATAAAAGATCATCCTCTATACCTTTAAATCTATGTTTTTGGAATACATCGAGAACTAAGAAAGAAAGCTTTTTTTTTTTTTAAAGTAAATGGAGATTTTAGTTACATGCTTATTGGTTATCTGTTTTCCTTTTGTTTATGGGTGACCAGCTAATGTGCTAGCTAGCCTGTGGAAATGTTTCTCTTCCACAGAAAAACAAGATAAAATGTCTCTTGTTTTGATAAAATATCTCATCCGCATTATTCTTTAGACTTTTGTAGAAGTGTTTTCAAAGCTTTTAAGAAAACTTTGCTTTATTTACCAAAAGTTCGAAGGCTATATCAAGCTAAAAGTGTGTTAGCTTGCTGCTTGTTAACAATATGCTCATTAACAAGCAGCTTAAAAGTATTATATATTATTTATTATTTATATAATAAAGCATTTTCTTCATCCCACACACCAAAACCTTTCTATTGGCATTATTATTGCTCAAAGCTTTCAGGAGTTATTAGATATAGTTTTTGCAGCATAAGTAAGACACCTATACATCAGTTTAATGAACCCAGGAACTACAAAAAACAAGCCCCCCTGCAGAGACAGGTCCAAAGTCTGATTCTTTTTCGGTTTGATTGAGCAAATAATTGACAAATGTGACTGCTCTCTCAAACAACAAAAGAAGACTACTTAAGATTGACAGTTATATCAGGATTTATTTCACCATTGTGGAATTTCAAGGACATCCTCTGCAGTATAGTTGCATTATGTAATAGCTCTGTTTGGCTGTAGACCAAATGTCTGTACTACCACAAAGGATTTGTTGCTTCCTCTCACAAAATTTACTAACTGCACTAAACTTATTGAAGGTGGCTGTATACTGTAGAAAACCCTGTGTGTGTTTGGTTGAGCTGCTTAAAATTAGTAGTAAAGTTATGCTGCTCATAAATCCAGGAAAGAAGCAGAGAGCCCTGCCTTGTTTGTCAGCATTGAGGGTGTGGTTCACTTAGCTGGCACTGTGCACTCATGGTTTCATGGTTTTATATATATGGCACTGGCATTACTTTTGTGCGATTATGAAACTGAACAATGAGCATTGCCGAGAGGCTATTAAAGTCTCTTGCACTATTGCGACCCAGGCAGTATAAGGCCAACACAAGGGTTATGTTTGTGCTCCGTAGTTGACTGGAGAGAGCAATGCCAGCCTCACCCTGCTCCCTGCTCACAGAGGCTGCTGTGTCTCATATATGCTCAACACAATGATGTCCAACATGATCAGACCCACTAATTTAACCGTGTGTCCTTCTTTTTTTAGTACTCCCGAGATTGTCTGGATACTTACTTCATACTATAGATTTTAATTTCTTAAAAAAGAACAAACAAAACAGATTAAATGTTTTATTGCTTGAAGATGGTCTGAAAGAGCCAATCATTTTCATTTCTAAGGTATGCATTTCAGTTTATTCCTTGCAGTGTGCTCCAAACGTAAAAGCAGAGCAGGTTTGCTGGTATGTTGTTCATGTGAGCAGTTTCAGTTTCAGGTCATGTATAGGTTTCACCTGCATGAATTGCTAATCAAACTGTAGATCTTTACACCATGTTCACTTGTGTTATAATGCAGGAAAAAGAATAAATTAGAAAGATACTTTCCTTTACTCTTAGTTTGGCTGACATTTGGCTAAAATTTGAATAGTTGCCCAAGTGTCTTAGCTTTTGTTTTGTTTAATTTATGTGTTTACTTTCACTTTATCAGATGGAAAAAAAAAATTAAGATTTGAAAAATTAAGGTATATGGAAAACATTTATTACTTATGTCTAGATTATGATTAATAATTTAGCTTTTTCTTCTCTGATGTAGGCAGTAATAACTTTTAACAAAATAATAGTGAAGATTTATAATTGTTGCTGAAAATATTTTGGATTTCAATTCTTTGGGTTTCTTGTCAGAGCCTTTTCAATTACTGTACAGTAGATATTTATAGAGTCACCTTACAGATATATATACCTTTAAATTCAGACATTATGTGCAGTTTAAATAAATTGGAACAGTTTTGGATTCTTTCATAAAAACCTCCATTACACCTCCACTTTATTAGTCATATCTGTTCAGCTGCTAGTTAACAGAAATATAATGGAACTTAATAGCCATCTGGAGATGCTAATTATGACTTGCTTAAGTCTAAACTTAATAGTTGAATGGGGAAGAAAGTGAAACAGGTGGTGGCAGAGGGACTACTCTAGAGAAAGGAAAAAATCCAGTAGGCAGCTGTTCTGCAGATACATTTTTTTTTTATGTTTTCTTGAATATGGTGACTAAACACATCTGGGACGGGCTGCAAAAGGAGGTTTACATCCGTCTGCAGAATCCGTGTCATGCTGTGTCATGCTGTCACTATGGACTGCAGGCAAATGTATCTAGCAGCTTGTTGAATGTATGCAATGAATATTAGACCAGTACAAGCAAGATAGGCCTAATAAAATGGTCAGCTGGTGTAAGTTTGAACATGAGAGTTTTCCACTGCTTTTTGACTTGATCCTGTGAGAGGATGAGACTCCTGATGCATTTTCCCCACTGGTTGTGCTTCATCATATGAGAGCTCAGCTGATTCTGACATCTATTTGCGATTCCCGAGGCTTCAGTGATGTGAAAAACAGCTCTTTTTGTCTACTCCTCTACTCAGCTGTTGCTATTGCTAATACATGGTCATAAATCTTTGGTTGTTTTCAAATATAAGTCTTCCTTTTTCATTTGCTGTGGCTGCCACTGCTATAATCTCAGGTTTTTATTTTTTTATTTTGTTGAATAAACAAGAAAGAGATTTTTTTTTTCCTCTGCCCTATTTTTTATGAGGCCCATAAATTTATGCAGTACCCCCCAAAAAAATCTCCACTTCAATTTTCACCGCTGGCAAATTACCATGTTGGAAAGTCCTGGTGAGAGATGACGCACACTGCTAGAAAGGGGATCCGCTTCTCATCCAGTGAAATGCTTTCAGCTGCGGAAGGTTGCAGCGCGGTAATCAGAGCAATTTCATTCACTTAAGGGAAAAGGGGTTTCCATGTAAATACAAAACATTCACTTGTTATATATATATAAAAAAAACAATGAATTAGATACTCTGCAGAGCTCATTATTTAGCACAACTTGACTATATTCCTCTCTCTGACTAAACACAGCTGGTTTTAGGGGGAAAACCTAAACTTTACAGCCAGCAGAAACATTTCCCATCAACTTGGCTGTTTGCAAAAGAGACGGCCTCACAAAGTGTTTCTGGTACAGACCCAGAATTTAGTCCAGACAGCTGCTGCGATGCTTATACTGCATTTACCAGGTGGCAAAAAGCACACAACTTGACATGAATAGTCTGGGTCCTCAGCAACCAATGAGTGGTTATAGTTCCGTTATAGTTTTATATATTTATGTTATAAATGTTGTAGTTTTAAATGCACTTTAATCTACAAGACATTGTTGGCCTCACATTTTAATAGAATTTTCACACGCATAAAATAGAAGTTCTAAGTGAAAATGTATCAATCAACAAATATGTGTATACAGTATGGGTTGAAAAAATGAAATGTCCTCTTCTTTTTAACTGACAAATGTATATTTATACTACAGCACAGCTTGGTTCCACAGGACTTTAGAAAAACATTTTTTTCTTGTTGTCAAATTTAATTTTAGAAAAGAATATTAATGTTTGTGGTTATTTTCTGTGTGCCTACTGTTAGATACTAATTTTAAACTACTTATACCTGTAAGTGCTTCTTGTTGAGATACTACTGGTTTATTTAAGTGAATAAAGCATTTTTTTTTATTGGAAATTGTGTTGAATCCAGCCATGGTTTCTAATCAGGTTGATAAGAAGAAAGTGTGGAGTGTAGACCTGCTCATAATGATATTAAGATATTTCTTCCACACTTTTATGGTAAATAGTTTGTCTTATGAATCTGAGTTTCGAAATAATATCCTTCATTTGTGATTTCCAAAAGACTTGGAGAAATAGATTGCCCTTAGTAGTTAATAATAGGTAGTGTTATCATTATTTTCAATATCTTCGAAGATCTATGAGGTCAATATCATATTTCAATTTTACAGCTTACAGGATGTAAGAGACCAAGTGAACATTTTAGCCACACTGTGTTAGCAGTAGTAGATAGAAATGGCAACTAGTACTAGAATAAATATGTTTGTATTTTAGCTTATGTTATTAGACATCCCTCTATGGAAGCCTTTTACCTCAGTGATCTTTCTCTCCCATGTTTAGGTTCCTTTACAGAGTTTGCATTTATTGGGGGAGATCTGTTCAGGGTTTTTGCTCAGTTGTTGCAGCATGCTGTTTGCTCTTTTCTTTTGACAGTAAATACATCTCAAGCCACAGGCTCTAAAACTACCCCTAAATGCGCCCCAGTGAAATTATTTTTCTTCGGTTTTGTAACTTTTTTCTTAGCGTAGTCCAACCAAAGAAATTCTTCATTTACCAACTTAATGTGTGGTCCTATATATTTCCCTAGCTCGGCTGTATTTTCTTTGTACTTAATAGCATTTCTGCCGCTCTGTCATTGGGGCAGGACATTTCTTTGTTATTATTCCCATAAGTGGTCTCAGAAATTACTGAAAATAAACCACTTCAGGAAACTGTAATCCAAAATATAAGTTGAAATTGTGTGTGAAAGCTTAGTTACTAAGTTAAAACCCTGCAAATCCCAAGGTTAAAATATGTAAACATGATCATTCCAGATAGATAATAGTAATGAGATATAGTGAATGCAGGGGACGAGTTCTTGATAATAAGCTTTTATCAATCAGCATTTTAAGGTGTTGGTATGTGAAAGAGACATCTCTCTGTGATTAAGAGCTGACAACAGCATGCAATTAACCAGCTAATGGGCTATTGTCAGCACACCCACATTAAACCAGGAATGTTTCGGATGCAGCAGAATTGGAGGCAATGCTGTAAATCCTTCCCTGACTTAAACACGGACACATCTGTCACTTTAAGTGACAGATATACAAGAAAAGCACAAAGGTGAGAGTCATACAGGGCTCCCATGTCGACACTCTGGGGTTTTTTGTCTCCACAGGAACTGAGATTTTCCTTTAAAGTGATTTACTGACAGCTAGCCCAGCCTGTTCATCCACAGAGAGAAAGAAAGAGCTTAGTTAATTCCTCAGGACATTTTTTTCTTCCACTGTAGAGCTTTGCTTTCAATTTCTAGTTTGTTTTATTGTCATGAAAAAGGAATTCAGCAACGCCCTTAAAATGGAAGGAAATGTTTTCAGACGTCTTTTTAATACTTTGCTTAATCTACTCTTTAAGGAGCTTTAAAAACTGGTTTGTTTTGATGTTATTGAGATTCAGTTTCAGAGATGATGTTGTTTTTCTCTCCGCCTCTGTGTGTTGATGTGTGAACAGGAGTAATGGGCTGACAGGAACCAGGATTGTGCTCTCAGCTTCCAGCTCTTTCACTGTCCAGCTTACATAAAGCTCAGAGCGATGCCCCCTGTTCTTGTATTATTTGCACTTATGCACAAACATCTCTCTTTGCTCTTTTCTCAGGCATCAGGAGACAAACAGGAGGCTGAAAAATGTGAGTCTTTTCTCATAAATGGTCTTTTGTTCTGTGAATTATTAGATATTTATAAAGCATAGAGCATAATATACTAGATACAGTGCTCTCAGGGGATAACAGGCAGTGATATTTGGAATGTTTGACGAATGATAACAAGGAAAGCTGAACAACAAAACAATAAACATTTACAATCACTATTCGTTCATAAATTATGCTGTTAAAAGTTAGATAGAGTTTATTGGTCAAATAAAACGGAGTGTGCAAACAATAATGATCCCCTTCCGCATTCTTTAGTGAAATATACAGATATAAACTACCAAAATAGAAAATGTCGTTATAACTGTCGCCTAAAATTGTTTTGATTAAATTCCATCTTCTGCCATTTAAGTGCTTCTTATGGCCTCTTGTTATTGAAAAACTCCAGCTTAAATCTTAGAACAGTCAGTATACAGTAAATGATAAAATATATACAATATATTAATGATCTAAATGATCATATATTTTGATGTGAAGTCTATGTAAGATTAAATAGGATAAGTAGGATTTAATTAGCATTTATTTTCTTGTACTCCTTTTTTGAAAAACATTATCAAATCTGATTTATGGAGTTTGACAGGGATGATATTTCTTTACCAGCTGCCTTCCTGCTAATGCGTAAACAAAGGTTTTTGCTCACATGTCTGTAACAATCATTTTAATAATGTACTGCAACAGTTTTGAAGACGTTGGGTTAAATAACACTAAGAAATTAACAGTTAAATAGCTATAGGTTTAACAACACAATATAAGTCATATTTATAGAAGAAATTAGAAGTAGATGTGCACCAATCAATGTTTAGGGCTGTTTTCTGACCTCCAGTAAACATTTGACCAGAAGATAACGATTTAAGCTGATTCAGATTCCTATGATAATAAATGTTCAAAGTATTTTTTCCTAGTTTCCTGATATAAGTAAGGAAGCCCTTAAAGGGGAGGGATTTTTTTCTTTTATTATTAAGTTGGCAGCAGTTATGCAGAGTCACTGTAATTTGTCTTGCATAATGCTAAAGAAACACAAAATGGTGCAATTGTCACTAACCCTTAATAATCGTTAGGAGGTCCTAGAGTTGCTGTAATCAAAGTTGTGCTATAGAGTATTGAGCATGCATGTTTAGCTAAATAAGCAGAAATGTACATATTCTACAGCTCTAGTTAAATTGGGGGAAACATACAAATAACAAACAAAGTAGAAATACGCGCAATATAGAATGATGGACAATTTTAAACTGCGTTTATTAACTTTTTTTTTGTGTGGATATGTTTGTCCTAAAGATTTGGGATTAATCTTTTGAATCTCCACATCCTTTGTGCAAAACCCTATGTCCATTTAGTCCAAGTCTATCTAGAACCTGTCCTCAAATCCAACCAAAGACCTGACCTGGGGGTCTCACTATCCTGACCTGTCATGTTGGTGTGACCCCCATTAAATGTTGCAGACTTGTTTATGTGTGCATGTTTGTTGGAGAAGCTGCCTGCTGGCTACCAGTTCGGCTTTATAACCCAGAGTCACACAGCAGTGCTGCTTTCTAGATGAGCCTGGAAACCAAAGCAGAACAATCAAGTGCTTTAGCACAAGCCAGATCATTGAGCAGTGAGGGCAAAGGTGCAACGACTGCTTGATAAGTTGTATTCTGTGGAGGTGATTTAATTTCAATCTCACTGTGTTGACGGAAAATCTCTCTTTTCTTATCTCTAGGTTTTAATCACCATCTACTGGCTGGGTAGAAGAGCTCAGAGTGATCGTTTCTATGATGGACCTTACCTAAATTTCAAAGCATTTGAGGGATTGTTGGGCACAGCGTTATACAAGGTAAGGTCCTCTTTAGAGGAGGTATTTATAACGCCCGTTTATCCGCGCTGTCATGAAAGAAAATAATAATTTTTCAGCGCATGTTTAAATCCTCTTTTGCAGCGACTGCACAGTACATTTGTGTATCTCCCTGGTATGCAGACTATGTGTGGAAGGACGGCCACAAACAGCCAAAGGGAGCACTTAAACCAGCACAGCGTTAATTCATAAATAACACGATCCTTCAATTCAGCTATTTTGATCCTGTGTAGAACACTGGACACATAGCTGTATGTTAAAATAGCCGCTTCTTTTCTTGAGAGAGGCATCCCTCTCCTCCCTTCCCGCTCGTGCCAGTGTTAAACTTGGCACCTTGTGTTTCTCATGGATTTATAGCTTGTGTGCGAGCCCTCTGTAATCCAGCTCACTCCCGGGATTTTTGATAATAACAGTTGGTTAGCGCACATTTTGTTCATTTAGCCACGTTAATCCAAGTTCAGTGCTGCTGTGGGGTTTGGCGGGGTTTGATTTGTGGACCTGTATTGTCTGGCAGGATTCTACAGATTACAGATCTTAAAAACCGCCGCTCTTTTTAAATAGTGTGACACGTTTCGGCTCGTTTGGTGCCCTGGTGTTTGATGAGGGCTTTTATGTGTTTGTGTGCAGTGACATTTTCGACTGGTAGTAAACACAGTCATTAAGGGTGTGGGGATCAAGTTTGTTTTGACAGAGGGTAGGAAATGATGAGGTTTCTTGATGTAGATTTCACCATTCTTTTCCAACCATTATAATTCATTTTATGTTTACAATAACCGAGTCAACAGACTTTAAAATCTACTTGGGAGATCTCCCACACCTCCTCCCCTTAACACGATGGTATTTGAATGTGTGATAGTGCGTGTATTTAGGTCTAAAACTGCTGGAATAAAGAGTTCAGATGAGATCAGCTCACATACAGTCTTTATAAGCATAAATCAAACAACTTTAATGACTTTTAAACCGTCAGGGTGTGGGATAACCAGTCCAATTCTATAGAGTGAGGGGTTTTCTCTAAAAGTCTTTATTATATTTATATACCTTCTAGCCACCAGCTATGTCCTGACATAATTTTAGTTGTCATTTGAATACATTACCGGAAAATGTTGTGTTTATTAAAAAGTAATATTTCTGACACCGACCCTTGCTTCTAAACTGGGCCCAGTAGGCCTACTTTTCTGTTGGGTGAAGTCAAACCTTTTGGTGTAAAAGGTAAAACAAACTTATTCATTTAAACCATGTTAGATGTATGTTTGAGGCAATTTCGTAACACTAAAATTGCACTAGGCAATGAGCTAATCTCTGACCATGAAGCTGCCACCTCCATGCTTGACAGTTGATAGTGCTCTTTGGTTTTTGACTTCTCTTGTCATTGTTCATATTTGTCTCATCTAAACCATTAAATGTTTTCCATGAAGCGATTTGGCTTGTCAATAAGTTTGCCAATTTAGGTTGAGCTTACATTTTTGTTTTTGTTGGATTTAAAGCAATAACTTCTTTCCTTGCACTGCTCCCTGTTCTTCATTGGAAAAGCAAAATGTTGGCCTGCTTCATCCATTTCTATAATACTTTGATTTAAGATTTGGTTCATTTTCCCCTTAGAAGTCCACAGTTTTAGTCATATATTTAGCTTTTAATTTTTGCACTACTTGCATTTGTAGCAGACAGATATAAACTGGGCAGTAAAAGACCTAACTAACCCTAACCATATTTTAATTGTCTAGTTGTTGATTTGGGTTGAAGTTGATCATTTTGGAGGCAGTCCTTTTTTACTTCAATATTATTCTACTTGTTTTGTCCGGTGAACCAGTACCACTAGCAGTGAAAGAGCGCCACAGCTTGATGCTAGGCAGTTGGTACATTGCTGTTGTGTTGTAAGGACTCAATTTGACTCCTCCAAATGTATTTCCTCTCATAGAAGCCAAATTGCTCAGTTCGTCTCCTCTGACTACAAAAATCCAGAGGAAACTTGTTTTGACTTTACCTGAAGCTGCCAATTCTGATGAGCTTAAAAATGTTGATTTTAGAGCACATCTAACTGGGCTCATTCTGGACAATAACCACTGAGCTAAATATTACAATGGTACCCTATTGTTTAGATATGTTCCTGACTTTGAGTTTATTATTAAAGGCTCTGCAGGAATCAAACAACCCGAAGGGCTCCAACGTTAGAGACAGTGGCTTTGGAGACAGTTGGTACTCGGAGCGAGAGGAAATCTACTCCCTGAGAGAAGGTGGAGGAGGAGGTAAACACAGGAGGGACGACTCGTTTGATAGTTTGGACTCGCTGGGCTCCAGACCCCACAGCGCTTCATCTGACGCCAATCTTAAAGGCAGCAGCGAAGGTACCACTTTTCCTTACTCTGTTTTTTTTTTTCCTGATTGAATTTGTTAGTCAGTACTGCCCCTTACATTAAAAAGTCAAGGTAACCATTCAGATTAAATTAAAATCCTTAAACTTTGGTCCAAATGCGACTTGTGGTACTCTGAATGCCCTCAGCCATTTACTTACCATTAACACAAGTCACTCTAATGTAGAATAAATGCTTCCAAACAGACAGAAATATGTCATGACCTCCATGCTATGAGCACTTATTGGTGAAATACACTTAATTGAAGAATTTTACAGAAAATGAACCACACACAAGTTCTGGTTTATTATCATGTTGCGTTCAACTTTTCCTCTGGGTCGTGTTAAGAAATCATTAGGAGTTAATAATTATTGCTCTCAACAACCATCCATTGACCAATTACCGTTATGTTTAGGCTTCTGCAAAGTTTGCATAGAACCACTAAAGAAACAATGTGGTAAGCATGTATTTGTGTTTATTGACATGCAAACCACCAGAAGTACAAATAGAGGGATAATAATTGTTTGTGTTGCAATCATTTTGAATATTTTGGTTCAGTTAGTGAAAAATATGTCTTTCCCTCTTAAATCTTTACTTCTGAGTGGCGTTCTTTTCGATTGTCTTTCTTCCTTAAACTTATCTTTTTTGCTTCCTTCTCTCCTTTTTTCTTTCTCCATAATGTTGTGAAGCATGTGTTTTTTTCTTTTTTCTTTTTTTTTTTTGTCCAGTTCTAGAATCTCATATTGTTAGTTTTCCTGAAGGAATTCAAATATTTGAAAAGTGAGAAGACCCACCTTCTTGGAGAGTTGGTTCCCAATTGTGAAAACAAACTTGTATTGCCATCTAGTGGTAGGCCTCTGAAAAAGATTTAAAAAAAAAAAATTATAATACTAAACTTTGACATGCTTGTGTAAAACTGATTCTCTGGTATGCATAAATAGATTTTTTTTGCAACCCAGCATTTCCTTGGAGTACTTGGGGGGCAGTGAGACATTCCACAGTCGTCCACAGCAGCTTGTAAATGAAGAGGCCTCTGTTCCCCGACTCTGCTGCCCCCAGTTACTCCTCCAAAGTCACTAGCCTCAGTCTTTTCTATATCCTGGCTTTGTTTGTCTTCTTTTCTTTTCCGTCCTCCAGCCTGGCCACCAGTCCTTGATCCTACCCTCTTTTCTTCATACAGGTTGTAGTAGCGACACCGAGGCAGACTCCAGCTTCAGGATGGCTGACAAGAACAGCCTCAGCTACCGCAGGTCGCTAGTCATCACACCCAAAGTCACCGCCCAGTTTAACCAGTTCCTACCTACCAAAGACAAGCAGTCAGGTTATGTGCCGGCTCCACTGAGGAAGAAGAGGGCTGAGCGCAACGAGGACAGCCGACGCAGCTGGGCCAGCTCCAGCTTTGGAGATGATGAAGGAACGCTCACCAGGTATATTATTCATCCACTTAAAAGTGTTGTCCCGTTTAGTTGATGAAAATATATATTGGTGAAAAAAGTTTGCACGATGTTAGGCTGCTCCATTGTGTCTTTAATTCTTGTGCTGTGGGATGATGATCTTGTCAAACAAGGATTTCCGCTCCAAGTTCTGGCAGCAGCCATGTCACCCAGAGCTCCCTACCATCAGCTCCTTCCCACTGGGAATATGACTCCGAGAGCGGAAGCGACTCAGATCCGGACCGACCCGACCCGGATCTCGTCTTAGACGATCTGGCGAGCAGACGCTTCCACAGTCCTTCCCCTGCTCCTCCTACCAACTTTGCTGTGCCCTCCAGTCCCTCAGCAAGGGGGCAGGGGGCCCAGGGCAAAGGTGGCCCCTGGCCTAAAGTCACTGTTTACCCCACTCATCCAAACGTGACCTGCGACAGGTCAGAGAACGTGACGATGCCGTGTGGATGTGCCTGTGTGATGAGAGCTAAAACCAAATGCTCCTCTTCCTGTCTGTTTGCATGGTTTATTGCAGCCAACAGCGACATCTTTAGTCAAAGTATTATTACTTTTAATAGATTCAAACACTCCAGTTTGCTGGATTCAGTTTGGATAAGTCACAGATTCCTGCTGCAGTAAATTCATGTTTGCTTTTTCTGAAAGGTTTTGGGCTTTGAGTTGGAATTTGAGTTCTCGGCATAGTTCCTAAAATCATTTTTTTTAGCTCTCGGTTCGCCTTTTAGCTTGCTTGGGTTTTCTAATCCTTACATCATTTGGTTTGAGGCTGCTGTGCTTTTTTTGCGTGACTTTTAAACTTGACCCATTGGAAAAGCTATTTTTAATTTTTGGCACTTGTGGTTGGCTGTCTCCTTTGAGCAGCAACAGCAGGAAAACTCAGTCCCTTGACCGCCGCTACGTGAGGGTGGAACACCGGCGGGGCGTGTGCTCTGACAGCCTGTTCAGGGACATGTATGACGACTCTGAAGATGAGGATGATGAGGTGGGCTATGCTGATCCCATCCAGGATGATCTCTATGCTCGTAAGATAGGTGCCAAACCGCAGCGGGCAAGAAGCGTGTCTTACAACACGTTCTTACCCAAGTTTTGGACACCTGAAGAGGACGTTCATGTACAGAGGATCAAACTGGGTTCTCAGAGGAGACCCTGGTACAAGGAGATGCAAGGCTTCAGGTGTGTGAGGGGGTGGAGGTGTGGCATTACTGGGAACAACAGGGACTCCTAACATGATAAATATACCTCAGCTTATTACATGGCTTGGAAAAGAATTCATACTTCTTGAACTTTTTCACATTTTGTCTTATAACCTAAAAATCTTAAGTGTGACTTCATTTGCATTGACCCTTCCTTACTCTGCCTCCCTGAAATAAATCTAATAAACTCACCTAATTTGTATAAAATATGAACACAGCGGTCCTGTAGAAAAACCTCAGAGGGCTTTCAGTTACCATCACTCACAACGCATCACAAAGACCAAGGAAAACATGACACAGAACAGGAATAAACCTCAAAAGACGTTTAAAGTCTGGTTAGATTATAAAAAACAATATTTATAGACAGATGATATTAGTTGTGCACTCAACAAAAGTATAATTAATGTCAGAGAGGTAAGATAAAACCCCATTTGCACATTAAAACATGGCATTATCATCATCATGCCGTGGGAATACTTTGCTTTCGCAGGAACAAGAGGTTATCTGGGAAGTGGATGTTTGAAGATGTTCTCCATTCTATCAGATGGAAGTTGCGCTCTTTGCAAAATACAATGGTTGGAAATTTTAGTCTTTTAACGGAAGGTACTTGCTGCTGTAACTGCAGCAAAAGGGGTTTTCAGAACCTGCTGATTCAGGAGGCTGAATGCAAAGGCAAACAATATTTTAGATAAATAAAATACACATCACTTTCCTTCCACTTCACAACTTTATCCACTTATTTTGTTCTGACACTAAATATCAATAAATCTGGGCCCACTAATGTGACAAAAGGTGAACAAGTTCTAGGGGCATGAAGACTTTACCAAGACTCTATATTCATGTTTTTTTGTTTTCCCTCTTGCTTCGTTTTCTTTAACTAACTGCTTGCTAATAGCAAATGTTTTAAACCCATGTAAAAATCTTTAAAACCGCTTTTCTTCTTGATAAAATCTCAGACTCCAATGATTCCTCCTTTTTATCCTCTGACTGCCCCTCCTCTGTCCCTCTCTCTTCATGCTGCTCTCGGCTGTAGTCGTCTGAAGTCGGGCTCTTCGTCTGATGACTCAGAATGCGACGTCTGTCCTCGGTTCTCCTCTGCTCCTCCTTCTTCTTCAACATCTCCCTCTCACTCCCACAAGCATGAGACACCAGCTCAAACCACCCTTGTTGTTGGGAAAAGGTTGATACAGCTGCACGACTGTGATGATGCGAGTTAAAGCATCGCATTTCAAAGCAACATTATGATTTGCTCCATTCTGGGCTGAATTGGTATATGCTGCTTTCTAATTAACTACTAAAATAGTCGAGCTACTAGAGTTCCCTTAACAAGCTCTAACAAAGAGTCTGCTTCCAATTTGTTTAGTATTTTTCATTTGTTGCATCCTCTACCGGATTTTACAATCAGCTTGCTTCAGTTTTATTTCACAGCAGTTAGAATTCAGTAGTGAAGCCCTCATTTGATCAGCATTTGTTTGACTCAAATGTCACTTTTCCAGCTATTCTTGCACCTTGATCTAGTTGCCATGCATGCGCTCATTATCTCTCTATCCTTTTCTCTCCTTCTGCTCACCCTGCAGTCCTCATGTCAAGGCACCCCCTGCCCCAGTGCTTCCTAAGATAGAGCCCCCTCTCTTAGAGATCCCACCACTGGTTTTTGCTCCTGTGGACCCCACCTCAGGTCCCAAACTGGTCAAATGTGAAAAATGGCCGCTCCTTGGGCGCGAAGACCCTAGAGAGCCACCAGACCCCATTGATTATGAAAGCATTGATCCTGACTTGGAGAACGACGACATGTTCACCAGGCGGATCCTGTCGTTTCAGTCCAACGTAGACCTGGCCATGTTTAAGAGTCGGCTCCCTGCCAAGCGGAGACTCTACTCATCTGAACCGCAGCTCAATATTGTCACACAACAACAGCTTCATAGAGATGCAGAAGACAAGGACTACCCAGACATCGAGCAGGATGATGTAGTTTATCGCAAAGAGAAAACTCAGCAGGCTCAGCAGCAGAGAGCGCTCTCTGGAGCCCCGGACAGCTACACCCCCATGCTCATCCCAGAGCCCTGGGACCTCCCTGCTGAACTCAAAGGCAGACTCCTCTGCCCCCCCTGCCCTCTGACTCGGGAAGCAACCTTGACTAAACAAGATCAAGATAAAAAGGAGGTGCATCCAGAGAAGGATGACATGCTTGTTCGGAAACTCCGACTTCACTCCGATCAGAGTCAGCAGAAAGGCCCGTTACCTGGTCACACGTCTCCCTCTGTACCTTCCTCTTGTAGTGAAGGCGACTTACAGAAGTGGCAGGCAATCAGAGAAGCCTGTCAGCTAAGATACAAGAGAAAGCTTTTATTAGAGAGGCTTGTGGCAATGAAAGTGTAGAAACAGACTGATGCAAAACTCCTGATGTTTGTGTAATAACCCTTATGTCAGATTATACATCATCTTTGACTGATGAATCCATTAAGGTTGAAATGTATCCACCCATGCTGTTGTGTAGATTTATCAGCTGCTTCTTTACTTCACTAGATCACTTTTAAACATCATTACTACACAGGAGATGTGGTGACTTTTGCTGTAGAAACACTTTAGAGAGTTTACTTGGTTCTGGGCCGGTATTAGGTTCTCACTGCTGCTCATAAACTTAAATCATGTTGTGGTATCCAAAGGAATTATGAAAAAAAGTTAAAGAAAATTTCGTCAACAGTTTTTTTCTGACTTTATTTTAAGAAACAAAAGCCTACTTATGTGTTATGTCATCATGGCTTCTGCTATTACATTTAAAAAACTGCTTAACCCTTCATCAGTGAAGTGACAGTTTTTATCATACTATCAGAGGTGTCAAAAGTATGAATGTTTATTACTTAAGTAGAAGTATAAATCCTACTGTATAAAACACTTTTGTTGAAGGTAGAGTATCAATTTAAGATTTTTACCGTACTCAAGTAAAAGTGTAAAAGTACCATTTTTAAAATTACTTAAAGTATAAAAGTAAAAGAAATGCAGGAAAAATGTTAGGGAGAGATGCTTTACTGCACTACCCTATTAAAGTAATTTTTTTTTTACAATTCTGAATGATATCTTCCTTATACTTATTTTTTTTTTTTGTTTTATGAACAATGGCAACAGTGTCAAATTAATTAACCACAAAAAATATATTAATATGTTTGGATAAAACAAATTATTTTCAGGTTTTTTTTGTTTTAAATACCAACACGCTATAACAAAAATGAGCTTAAATTAAATAAAAGTAACAACTCCATTTTTAAATGTAAGGTGTAGAAAGTAGAGAAAATTGCAAAAAAAAAAAAAAAAAGTAAGGAGTAGAAGTTAAAAGTTCTCTAAAATTAATTACTCCAGTAAAGTTAGATAGCCAAAATTTCTACTTAAGGTAAAAAAAAAGTATTTGTACTTTGTTACTTGAACCTCTGCATATTAATAGTGGTACTATATGGTTCTAAAAACTGTTTTAGATTATAAATAGTTATGATGTTAATGATTTATTAGATGTAGATTTTCCAAAGTTGTCATATTTCCACCTTAAATTATGTTTGATGGTCAGCTGCCGAAAAAATTTTGCTTTTCTGTTGCTTACAAGCTGCAGTTTAAAAAAAATCATATTTTTATTGGGTTGTTTTGCTTTGATTTTTGTTGCTGGAAAAAATTTAAACCTTTAAATATGTCGAGGGAGGGGCCAGCTGACCAGCAGTGTGCATCAATGTGAGGAGCATGGAATGACCTGCCTCAGTCTATGCAACCTTTCAGTCAAACTAAACTGCCTGGTCATTTCTCTGGCATCATATGAAGTGTTTTTAAACAAAGCAAAGCTATGAGGGAAGACTTTAATAACTTTAAAATAGTGGGTTTAAAAGCCTTTATCTAGGCTGGTGATGGTAACCTGCCTATAACTGGTTTTAAAACATTTTTTTTCTTCTAATATTGAAAAAAAGACTCATTAGTTACTTTTGCTGCAAAAATGTGGCGTACATTGGCTTAGAGGTCCGATGGTATTTACTTTCAAAGTGGACTTCATGGTTGTGCAATAAATTTACTGCTTATATGTGTTGTTTGATTTATGAACCGAAACCCAAAATATCCTCCTTGACCAAAGAAAATTTGATAAATCATGTTCACCACTGATCCAAACGTTGTCCTCTATATATTTTTTTCTTTTTCTTGGACGTCTGAGTTTGCCTGTGGATTGTAAATGTACGCATATATGCTTAATAAAGACGAACAAGCATCTTAATGACTTTGTATTGAAATAAGTTGAACTCCAGGAGCCATGAATCTGACCTGAGGTCAGTGTTTTTATTCCTCAGCTGAAAAGAACTTCACACCAACATGCAAAACTCGAAGTTCAGCAGAAAGACAGGGCAGAGAAAAATACAACAGTCTGACTACAACAAGCCAGGCCGTTTAATGTGTGCCAGCATTAGGCAGCACAGACATTCCCCACAGCTCTGAGAGTACATGCAACAGTTTTACTAGAACAGGGGCCAGAAACGCGCGGCTGGATTTATTTTACTGCTGTGTGTGAAATTAAGTTTCAGTTTGCACCATGGAGTCTGTGAGGTAGATCCAGACACACGTCCAATCCCAATACAGATCATCCATGGTTCTTGTATGAATAGGGCCTTTGGTGAACTTCCATCCATGTCCTGCAATTATTTAAAATTCACAAAATTATCCAAGATAAAAAGATGTGCCTAATATGAGGCAGCCTGCACAAAGGAGCAAAGCTAGCCTTTATGTTTCTAACAGAAACATAAAGAAATTTTAATTAGATGAACATTCAGAAAAGAGATTAAGTTTGGTATAGGGCACAGCTGACAGATCAGATAGAAAGTGAGACAGTCATGTCAACTATTTGACTCCTTCTGTGGACAAGCAGATGAATTTTAGATTCTAAGTCGATGGAATTTGGTGGAATTACAGAAAAGCTTTAGTAGGAGTCTCTGCCTGGCCCCAAGCTTTTCACCCAAATACCGTCAGTCATACCAGATAGAAAAAAAAGACAGCAGGATGCAAAAATGTGACTTTTTGTTGTTTGTGATTCTCTCTGGTTCCCCAGACAGCAGCAAACACCAGAGAGTTCTGACGGGTGAGTTAACACGGACTCACAGAAATGTGGCATGTTCTGGATTCGCTCTGACCCCTGTCTAGTCCCACTCTTGGCTTTTGATCTGCTGTTGCTGCTAACTGCTGCCTTTCAATATGAAACGCAGGGTCGAGTTCAGGGTGAGGGTGAAGGGGCTGCAGAAAGCTCCTTCTTTAAAAATACATTTTAAGGGCTGCAGTGTGACCATTATGACTAGTTAGAGGTCTGAACTCTGTGAAACCTTTTAAGGGAAGCTTTTATTTCAACTGTAACCTTTTGGACTCTTCCTTGTTTGCATGATGGTGGAAAGAACAGTCATAAAGTTTATTAACCAACTAATCCTTCATCACCTTGTATTTGTTTCTGACTGGTCTTTTTGGTGTTTATACTAACACACTTTATGTAAAATTAATATCTAACAGGATTTTTTTACAGAGCTGTCATTATGGTAAGAAATGACGCATGTATGAAATGTATTTAACCAAAACCTAATGAGCAAAAGTTATTTTTAATATTTAAAAAAAGGTGATTTTTATTTTTCCTCTTTTTTGTTCTTCCTTTAGGAGCAAATCAACAAGCGACATCCAGGTGGACCCCTCAGTCACCCGGCAGAACCGCTTCGAAGAGCTCCAGAAGTACCGTGAGCAGATAAAAGACAGCGAGGATAAGTGGCAGGATGTAAGTAGATCTGTTTTTTTGTAGTACCCATACAACAGTCCTCCCTCTTTTTAACCTGGCTCTCCTTTGTGCAGTCCCAGTCAAATACAGTGAAGCTGTAGTTTTATTATGACAAAATGGGAGGAGGGCACTTGATACATACTTAGGGTTGTCTATCCTACAGGTTTTCTGCATATTAAAGAAACACTACAAAATTGTTTGCTTTTGGCAGAGAAAATTTTGAAGTGAAAGATGAGTAAATGATCTCTGAGATAAGCCTGCAGCTGCTGGTTGAAATCAGAGCTGTTTGGATTGAAGGCAGAAAGGCAGGAACTGGTTGGTGCAGTGCTGCCCTCTGGCTATTGACTGCCCTCATCTGCAAATGTCTCTGTTGGCAATTATAAACAAACATTTATAATAGAAGTGATAGGAGGTAATAATATAAAAAAAAAAAAAAAAAGGAAAGTAACTGCATTTTAAGTTTCTGAAAAATTAGGACAACCAGCAATTATTTCATAGTTTTGTCAATTAAGTTGCAATAAAAAGCATAATACATAACATTTTAGTTTTTTTTATATATATATATATACTCGTCACTTAATATTCCTGCCTGCTACCTGATTGGTGTCAGGGCAAAGTAATGGAATCCTAAAGCAACATTTAGGTCACACAGTCCACTGGGGAGATAAGCCGGGAGGAGCTTCAGTCTCACAAATAGAACACCTTCAAATGCAACCTTGGTTTTTTTTTTTCTCTCTTCCCCAACTTCCAATTCTCACCATACTGTGAGACAGTCTGTCGCTTTAATCTAAGCCCAAACTTAAATGTGTTAATGAAGGAATGCACAAAGTGATCTAGGATATTTCTTTTTTTTTTGCAGGACCTGAACAAATGGAAAAACCGGCGCCGGAGTGTGAACTCTGATATAGTGAAAAAGAAGGAGGAGCGGGAGAAGATAGAGCAGATCACGTACGGCGGCGAGAAAAGGTCCAAGACCTTCAAGGAGATGCAAGAGGAGAGGTGAGGAGAAAAGAATAAAACATACTGGGAAGGCTGCGATGATCTAAGGTTAAAAAAAAAAAAATCCAGGTGCTTCACTGCTTAATAAATGTACTCCTCTTTTACACCTTTTCACCCTCAGAGTGGGAACTTACTGTGCGAAGGTAATGAAAGGATGTATGATGTGTTTTATGTTGTGAAACAGTGACTAGATGAGTGTTTTCAGTGTGAGAATCTGTCCGCTTCATTCAGTCTATCGCCCTACATCTCGTCCCATCATGCTCACCTCAAATCATCCTAAATGTTGTAAATTACTGCCACATTAAAACTTTCCAACCTCACCTTTCTGTCCACAGGGATAATAAAGGAAAAAGCAGCATAGGCAGCCGTTTGTCATCTCTCTCTCACTTGGATGACGACGAGGACGTATTTGACAGACCTGCTGTTCGCACGCCTACCCGAACACTTGCAGCCAGAAGCTACACCATCGACACTCCATCATATTCCTCTGAGTCCTACAAGCCCTCTGTGAAAGCTGAGGAGCCCCCCGCTGCTTCCCCACCCACTCGTAGATCACCTTCACCTCCCTCTTCGCCAGAAACTGTGGACAGTCCTGCAGTCAGAAACTCCATCACCAGCTCCACCATCACTCCTGCCAACCACAGCTCCCACTCTCAACCAGCTGCTCCACTACAGAAGAGTCCAGCAGAAACAAGCGCAGGTGGAACAAGCAGAGAGAAGGCTGCGAGGGACGGCGCCCCCGCCTCCTCCACCTCCACACAGAAGGAGCCTGAATCGAGGCCCTCATTGTTGGGAGCGAAAACTGAGGTGGCGGTCCCCTCTTTTAGTTCAATCAACAGGCAACGACCACAGTTCAGCTCAATGGAACCCAACCCTCCAGGGGGGTCTCGAGTTTCCGCCTCTCTCCCCAGGAGCTACCAAAGATCGGATAGCGCAAGGCTAAGCTCAGTTGTTGCTCCGAGGCCCTTTGGGACCCAGTCCTCACGCATCTCCTCTCTTTCCAGAGCCTATACAGTAAGTAGAACAAACCAGATACACACCAATAACTTAGAATTCAGTATAGATTATCTACTGTATAGATTTTTACATCAAAAAGGTTGTAGAGTGCAAAAACGATTTATAAATAAGTAAAAATGTCTTAAATTAAATGTATTAATTTAATTCATTTAATTTGAGCAGGTAAATAAGATAATATGCCAGTGGAATGAGTATTTTTACACTTAAAAGAAGATAATTAGAAAATATTCACTTGAAATAAGATAAAGCAATTGTTTTTTCTTATTTTAAATGTAAATTGTCTTGTTCCATTGACAAAGTGCGCACTCTTCTCCTCAATTCAAGACAAAATGCATTTATTTGAAGAAAAAATAACTCATTTAGATCTCAATTGTTTGCAGTGTAGCACTTTTTCTTTTGATGATTGTGGCTTAAAGCTGAGAAAACAAATTAAATTTAAAAAAGGATTATAAAAAAAATGAAAATTTATATGAGAGGTATTGATAAGAAATTGGAATAAAATAGAAAATAGTATAGTTGAAATAGTTGCACAACCAGCAGAGAGAACAGCAAGATTGAGGAGATCAAGGTCCAGATTGTAGTAGAGATTAAGATAAAAAATATAGCAAAAAAATCAGAAATGCTGTTAGACTGCCTTTTAACCAGCCTGGGCTTCCTCAACACCTCAGCTGTTGTTGCTTTGGTTGTAATTTTCAGGTATTTCTCCTGCTAAAAGGTGAATATCTCTAGTGTTGTGCATGCTCCATTTGTTTACCTCTATCCATCTTCACCCTTTGTCCAACTTTACTGTTTCTGATGCAGAAACCACAAACCCACCATCATGATCATAATGCTGCCAATTTAGCAGATGGCCTCTATGCTGAAATAGTGCATAAGAAGCCCTAAACAATTACTGAAAACAAATAATGTAAAGTCCAATATATATATTTACAAGTAGGTCAGCTCTTCTGAATTATTCAACTCTCTTAGAAACTGACCATTATTTTTTTGTAAGCTGTAAGTTATTATCATCAGAACAAAAGATGATTGCTTAAGATATAAATATATCCCCCATATGCAGTGAATCTCTATATTGTGTTAATGTTTGACCAAAATTACTATATTCAACTGAGTTAGTTTTGCTGTTAGGAAAAGGGCAGAATACACAGGTTACAAAGAATGTCTTCGTAATGTTGGTCAGATTTTTTTATTTTCGAAGAATTGACCATTATTTAGTAGCCTGATCTGATTATAATACATACTTATAGGTTGTAGATATCTCTGGTATACAACAATATTGTTAAATGACTGTTAAAAGAACTAAAGTACTAAAAACTTACCATTAACATAGAAAAACACTAGAGGAAAGCATAAACTTATATTTTATTTAATTAAAAAAAGAAAAGTGACATAACAAATATATTAAAAGAATTAAGTTTAAATTAGAAGGACTTTACTTTGATTAACAGCTCAGTTATACTTCATTTATACTCATGTGTGAAAAGTCATTCTAAATCTGAACTTTTATCCTCGTTCACAGACGGACGACTCTCACAAGGGCGTCAACGGCAATGTTGATCTTTCTAAAAAGGCGTCAGTCCCCGGCCGCTATCATCAGTACATGAACTCAGGGGATGAGGATCAGTCCAGCTCTTCACCCACCAGTGATGAGGAGGAAGAGGAGGAGGAAAAGAAGGATACCACAGTGAAAGGCCTGTCCTCTACTCCGAGCATCAAAGCTGATCTGCCTCCCGTTAAAAGTGACGTCCCAGTCAGTCCTACTCCAAAGAAAGAAACTAGCAAGGTATTTAAGTGAAACTGAAATTATTAGTCTACAGGAGACTAAAGTCTCAAGGATATTCTAGTCAAAGTCTGCAGATACACTTGACCTGATGTATTAATGTGTGTAAAGGTAGTCCACATTCCTAATGCTACTGTTGTGTGGTTTCCAGGAGGCCTTCTGCGAGATGCGAATCAGCCTGAACCAGAAGCCCAACAGCAGCCGGGACTTTGGTTTTCAGGCTGCCTGGGACTCAACAGGAGCTCGGGTCACCTCCATCCAACCAGGTAGACCAGCACAGATCAGGCCGAACCTCAACTTTTACAATGAAAAGTCACCATAGATTGTTAATGCCATTCTTTTATGTTATTAAAGCTTTGTTACATAATGTCAGTGCTGTGGTAAAGATGAACACCTGAGCTATGGTTGTTTTGTTTCTAGTTTCAACACTGCTAGTTAGCCTCTAGCAGTTTTTTTGAGTCCACTGCAGTTGTGATGCGAGAACCCTATGTAGGGCAGCATCTATCTGGGTCAGATCTGCTGGGTCTGAGCCTCTCTTTTCTACTGCAGCTCCCCACCAGCACTGAACAGTAGGCCATGTATTTTAAGTTATGCTGACATCCCACATTATAAAACCTGCTACAAACATCCCCTAATTTTTATATTTTGTTTTAAAAGAAATATAAAACAACCTCGAGCAAAGAAAAAAAGGAATTTTTTTTCACTACAAGATCCGGTGGAAGACATACAGTATCATGCTAAAGTCCTATAAAATACATAACAGAAACAGTTATCTTTAGAAAAAAATCAGCAGTTTATGTGCATCTATTTAGTTGGGGAAAAGCAACGTTGGAAAGTAATTGCTTTAACAAAATCATATGGATATTTAAATAAATGTGATTTAAAATGCTGTAATTTTAAAGTACATTTTTATGACATGGCGCCGGAGTAATAGGTTACATGTAAAGCTCCCCCACTTAGATTGCCCATAGTTACAATCAGGGCAATAACAAAAAGGAAGATTACAACAAAGGAGGCTAGTTGGAAGGCTAGTTGGAGAAAACTTGCTGCTTGCTTGAAGAAAATTAAGGAAAAAAGGATGATCTTGGAATCACCAAGTATCCATGACAACTGTCAGATGCTATTTGCCTTTTATATTTTACCATCACAAATGAAAACATTGACTTTTCTTAATTGGGCTAAAGATATGAGCTCTAACTGTGCTATGATCCGCTCAGGCTAATGCTACATTCATACCTAATGCGCTTTGGGCAGCAGAAGAAGCCGCTTTACATGCAAAGTCTATGGTTGACGCACATTAAGGTGCATCAAAAGGTCCTGCAGCAAGAGCAGCGCCTCTTGAACTTCTGAGCATCTGAGGCGAATGACGCCCTTCACAAGCAGAAGATACTGGAGTTGGAATAATAGAATTTTTGCTGCTTGACGCATCCTACCAGCCAATCAGAGAAGCTGATGTTTGGCTCAGAGGGAGATGGACAGTGCTGCTGATGCAGAGAGATATGATCACTCCAATGAAACAGTTTATTAAGGCCTAAATTAACTTAAAGTGTCAAAACTTGCCAGGAAAATATGTTCACTTTTATTATCTTGGTACGAGCAGTTTGTACCATATACCTGAAAAACGCTAATATATACTTCCAGCGACCACAAACAGTAGGGCTACAAAAAGGAGCAAATATTGACAGTGGGGGAAGCTCTAAAATTCAGTGATTTTGCTGAAAACTATTTATTAAAATGCCCAAATTAACAACTGGATCGTTTCATGTCACATTATGCAAATCCAGTAAAGGATAAAACTATTTTAACACCTTAATATATATTTAAAAGGGGGTCCAATAAGTTTGTACATTTCTGTTCTTGGAAGGAAACCTTTTGGAGCTGCATCTTATCCTCAGGTGTCATAGTAACAGAAGCTGGTTTAATTAATAAATTTGCTTCTTGTAATAAAACCCTTTTTGTTTGTTTTTGTAACTGTCAGGTAGCTCAGCTGAGATGTGCCAGCTGCAGGTCGGAGATGAAGTGCTGAAGGTAAACGGGCTCCCAGTGGCACAGATGAGTTATGACCAGTGGAAGTCCAGCTTGGATGAGGCCCTTCAGAAGGGCAGTCTGGTCATGGATGTGCGCCGTCACGGCCAGAACAGTGAGTCATCTCTAAACTGATTGCTGTGAGAGCAAAGAGACTGAAAATAAAGGAAAGGTTTAGGGGTTACTTTCCTGGACTGACAAGGCTGCTTAATCTCTGGGCGTTGCTAAACAGTTTTGACAATTTAAATTGGTCCGTAAACTATCGTGAAGTCATCCATGAATGATATCATGACAGCTAAATGATGAAGGACCTGTGATATTTTTTATTCTTATCTCTTCTGAGGGTGGAATGTATTTTCTCTCACCCCTGTTTTGTTTTCTTTGCATTTTTATTTAATTTTTTTATCTTTTCCAAATTGTTTGTTCTCTTTGCTCTTGATTTTTTTGTATTTCTAAATACATTTTCCTCTGGAAAACTAACCTTCTTTAGGTTCACGTCACTGTCACTGTAACTTTTAGCCTTTTAAGAATTTCAGTGTCATATAAGAACTAAACCACCCAGAGTAGTCTGAAACTAACATGAAAGGCTAGTTGAAAAGGTTTAGTAAAGCCCAGTCATATCATGCCTAGAAGTAACGCTGTATGGGTTTATAGCTTTACTAGGTGCATGGCTGGGGAAGGTGGTTTCTCTGTGGCCCCCCCTGCTGCCCTCCACAATAACACTATAACATCACCCCTCGTCTCCCCTGCTTTATAGCGGTGTGTGTGTAACTTCTGTTTCTAGATGTTGGGGTTCCCACTGACAAACTCATGGACTTACATACACTTACATGCACAGATAATGGGTTTACCTTCAAGCACACCATCTATATTTGTTTTGCCATTGCATTTACTGCATGCAGACTGGGACAGAGATCAACCTTCCCTGCCATTTAAAAGCCATAAGACCGTCAATCTGACCAGTACGGATCATCCGATACTTCTAGGTTCCCCTGAGACAAAGACTGTCAGTTCCAGCCTGGATTTTACTTCACGTACAGTCACAGAAACGGTGCTGGCTAAAGAACCGCCCACTCTTCCTCTTGTGGTAAGTGATGATAAAGTTCAGTTGCTCTATAAAAACTATTATTGGACAAGTTTTACATGATGTTTTCTTACCTTTCATATAATTGGTCATTAATTGTTTATATCTGGACAGACTTAAACTGTCTTTAGCACTGAATATTATGTGTTAAATTAAATAAGGATGTTTAGTTATAGTAAATATGCGGTGTAGTCTCCCTGAGCCAGCTTACTATTCCAGCATTTTCTGACAAATAGAGGTTCAAAGATTAGCATGAAATAAAAAAAAAAAGAAACGGAAGTTGTGTCATACTCCAATAAGTCTTCCTGTTATCTACTAAAATGTTAGCACTCTCTCACTCTCTGAGTCTAAACGAACCTCAGAAATACCTCAAAATGTAAGAAACAAAAAGAAAAAATGTCAATATTTCACCATGACTTTATTTTCCCTCAGCTTATTGATGCTGTAAACAAATCACTAACCTGCAGCAAACTGGTAGCACATAGCCATGGAAAAGTAACTGATTCTTCAGTTGCCAACCAAACTGTCACCTTTCGGCTTAGTGAAGCTGAAAACTCTTCAGTGTGTTTGGTGTTTTTCCTGTATTTATCCTCCTGAATTGACTTTCATTGAGTATAAAGCCTAAAATCTTTCCCTGCAGGACGTGGCTTCAGACAAAGTTAATGGGGACTTCCGTCATGAACCAGTGACCATGAGGAATAAAGGTAAGGAGCAGTGATAAAAGTTGGAAAGGTTACAAAAGTGATGTCTAAGTGTCTAAGATTGTTTTTGGCCAGAGCGAAACTGTGAAATATACATAAAGCTCGGCCAGTAATGTGATTCATGACCATGTGTTGGTGATATACGGAACAGACAAATTGGTTGGTAAAAATGGTTTTGTTTTTATTGTGGTACAGTAATGTCATGCTGAAAAATTTAGGACATCTAACCTTCAATTTGAGTACTATAACTCAGTAAACAAACAAAAATTTCACTCTTTAAGAAATAACACGATTTTAACAAAATGGCACTGTTTACTGGTAGACAACAGCTAATAATTGTAAAACTCCCTGTTGCTCCTAGAACAGCACTGAGTTTTCTGAGGGTTGGAGCTGAGAAGTGGACCTTTGACCTTCCATTTTACACTTTCTCTTTCTAGGTCACCTAGACTCATCTGTTTCCTACCAAATAGGGTTAATCAACTAGAATTGAATCATGAATTGGGTCAATTTTGAATTAGCCATCTCTTAAAGGCAGTCCTGTTAAAAGATACACCAGGGATACAATTTTCCATTTTCTAGCTGAGGACACCAGATTTTTTTGATCTCCAAATATTCTGCACCCCAGGAACAAGCCCACAGAATCACAGATCCTCCACCCTGCTTAATATTCATAACACTGAATTTACATTTTAGATAGAAAAGCTGTGAAAAAACCAAACACATCTATTAGATTTCAGATTATTCAACGTATCACTGCTTTCTTGTTTTTTTATTTGTACATCAAGCTTCATGAGTTTATTATATTGAGTTGGAAATAACAATAAAGAAAAAACTATTGCATTACTGACAGTGTATTTTTATGTTATTATAACATTTCTCTAAACCATAGATTTTTTTTTACTGAATAACTGCGCTCAAACCAAAGGTTTAATAACCTTTCCAGCTTTTTCAGTTTGATATTAATCTTTCCATATGTTGCCAACCAATCTGACTGTTTAGTCGGTCTCCTCAGTTTGAACTAATTTTTTTCTCTTCTGTTCTGTGTCACTTAACCCTGTTTTCCATTTCTCATGTAGAGTCAGAACCAATATCTTTGAAAAACTTTAAACGGAGGTCAGAGTTTTTTGAACAAGGTAAAACTCAAAAAGAAGAACACCTGAAAGGGATGTATGTGGTTCCTGATGCTGACTCTGTGTTCTGTGTGCTGATGGCAGACTTCTCTGTGCTTTTTATTCGTTTGTATTCTCCTGACTGCAGAGTCAGTGCTGCATGTTTTCCTGACATTTTGTGCAGTGGTTTAAAAAAGAAAAAAGGGATCTTTTTTTATTTTGTACTTTTTCTGGTCTGGTGTTGAAGCTTAACCCTTACGCTGTACCCCTTCCCTCCCTCAGGAGACTCAGAGTCTAGTGTCAGTGCGCTGGCCTTCCTCTGTGGTAAACAGAGTTTACTGTGTGTAACCTCCTTACCTTTGCTTGGTACAGCTTGGGATGCTGACATCCTGGTTAAACCAAATCTGGTCAATATTTTTGTCCAAATTGATGCCTATCAAAAAAAAAAAAAGGATTATAATCCTGCAAATTAAAGCAGCTAATTCTGCTGCCAAAGGTTTGTAGTGTGCCGGTATCCCAACGTACCAACCACAAAAGCACATTCGTTGAATCCTGTTGCATTTGTGGTATTAAGAGATTAACACTTTTCTACACTCTTCATTGAGTTTCAAGCATTCCTGACATGCACCTATTGAGCATGTCTGCTTGTCATACTGGCGCTGTCCTTATTCTCTTCTCTTTTCCTGCTCCTGCATGCTGATTGCTAATTTCAGCTTGTTTGATTGGGTTTTTGCAATCAGGTTATTGATTTCCCTTTTACAGATATTGAATGCACATCAGGCGTAAATGTCAATATGTTTGTGATATGCTGTGACGAGTCTCAATGAATCCTAATGAGTAGAAATTTGAGCTGTTACCTGAGGCTTGGTGAAGACAGTAATTGGTGCTTTGGTTTCAATTTTAATTTCCAAACACATATCAACACTTTCTATTTAAACCGGAGCTTTAATAAGCCATTAATCTGGATGTTTATGTATTCTCAGGCCTCAGGGTTAACTTGTCTATTTACATGTGCTGCATTGCTCTGCCCGTGCATGCCTCAGGTATTGACTCAATGTTGTTTCTTTCCCAGGAGGATCAGAGTCTTCCGTGCCAGATGTAAGTAGTGTCAGTTTGTCAGAGGAAATGTTCTTTTCTTCTGTGTTATGTTTGCTCTTTCACCATGACAACATCTGTGAAAGCAGACACCGTTAATCGCTGTCCATGAATCCCAGACACACTATTAAGAGTGTCTGGCCTTTACACATTGTATTATCTGCAGCTACACAGCCTTGTACTCTTTTGATTACGCCACAACCTCCAATTTCGTGTTTTATAGTGTTTATGAACATTATGTCAGGGGTAAAGAAAAAGGAGTTTTAGATTTTCTAAAAGAAAAAAAGTCTGAAAATTATGATATATTCAGCCCTCTATAATAAGCTCTGGCAGCACCATTGTAATGGGATGCATTTCCTTATCAGCAACAAAAATGGTGCTCAAAATATACGGAAAGACAGGTAGAATACAATACTCTAAGGAAACCTGTAGAGTGATGAGCACATGATGTCTGCTGGGACTTGAGGGTGATGTTCTGCAGGAGATGTTGCATGTTCTCCCCGGGTTCTTCCCACAAACCTAAAACTCATGTTATCTTTTGTCTATATGGGATCTAATTTGTTCGTATTTCTAAGACGGACTAGTTATTAACAAGTAAGGTTGAACCTTGCAAGGATCCAAACAAGAGCATATGAAACGCTCATTAAGATCTAAACATCTGGGGTTTCCTGCACATCAAAAAAGAGTGCAATGTAATATAAAGATTTGGAAACCTGTAATTTATAATTGGACAGATTTACAGGATGCAAATTTTAAAAGCTTTTTCCAAGACTTGGAAAAGCTCTATTTTCAGAGAAACTTTGTTATGTATTCCCCTGGCTTTAGAAAAGCTAACTAACACCAAAGCATTTTAAGGATAAATGTGTAGAAAAGTTTAAAAGTGTCAACTTCCTGATTGCTTTGGGTGTCTCCAGATCCCTGTTCCTCCGATCACTCCAACCTCCTCTAGCCGCTGGTCGTGGGACCCTGAAGAGGAGCGCAAGAGACAAGAGAAATGGCAAAAGGAGCAAGAGCGCCTCTTACAGGTATGTAGGAAGCACGTACAAATTATCATAGCACACTTAATTGGTCTAACTTTTCTGTTTTGGGGAGCAAATTATCACTGTAAAACTAAGAACAGTTTGTTTAATCAATAACAATTGACCAACATTATTCTTTTCTCCACTTTGTAAGAAAGTTAAACTAAGCAGAGATAAAAATGAAGACTAAGTGATTGAAGATCTGAATTTAAATTAGGTTTTAAAGGCCTAGATCAAGTTGCAGAGGTGGTATTTCGTGATGAATCTCAGAGGCTTTCTTGCTACAGCAGTCTTCATCCCTGTAAGATAAAAGTGCTGATTTCAAGATGTGCTGGGCAAAGTTTAATAGGTTCTTCAGAGGAGGACTCTCTCAGTCATTACATAAGATATAGGTGACCTTAACTCTATTATGGAGACATTATTGCTGAACTCTCTCTGTAGGCGGTACATACTATTAAATTCGTAGCTGTCATTTCTGTTGAAAGGAACAGTATGCACAGTTTTGTGTGAAAATATTCGCAACACTTCCCATTTCTCACATTTTGTCTCATTGAAACCAGAAACATCAGTGTATTTATTTTGGTCCTTATATGAGTACCAGAGGGTATTGTATATTTGAGAAGTGAAAGGAAAAAGATTCATGGTTTTGTGAACTTATTATGATTTTTATTACAATCTTAAAACATTGGAGTGAAATTAAATTTAGTGTTATTAACTCTTATACCTCTAAAACTAACAATTCAAAAGACAGCCATCAGAAATCACCAATTAACTAAACAGTTGACCGCTGTGTATTATAGTCGCCCTGTAAAAGCCTCAAAGGTTTATTATAGCTATTAAAGAAGAATGCTTTTAATAAAGGGAAGATGCTTGTCTAACATTTGAAGGAAGTGATCTCCCTTAAATTTCTGCCTAATTTTGAGACAAATAAAAGCAGCTGAAAGATGAGGCAGGAGTAGATTTGAGAGGTAAAGAGGAGAAGAACGGTTTAAACATTTATAAGCTGATAATAAAATATAAACAAATTCACAGAGAGGCAATAGAGAGAGGTCAGGATAAGAAGGATGTTCATTTCAATATGCTGTGAATTTGGAGGACAAGTTATATAGGATCAAGATGACATTCTTTTAGAATAAAAGCAGTTGTAAAAGCGTTGTGTTGCTTTTCATTAGTAGACACATTGAAGCTAAACGGATGGAAAAGTCGTTCAAAAAATTGTTTAACAAAAATATGACCAAAGGACATCTGTGATTTCTTTTCTTTTATCCTTTTTTAATTTTTCTTTCACATCACAATTTTGCACTATTGAAAATTTTTTGTTCTTCTGTCACAAAATATATAAGAGCTCATGGGATATAAATACCCATTGCAAGACGCTGTTCGTTTCTGTGTGTTATATATATGAGAAAAAAAAGTGTTTGTGCATTAATAGACCTCTTTCTGCTGTCAGGAAAAATATAAGCGTGATCAGGAGAAGCTGCAGGAGGAGTGGCTGAAGGCCCAGCAGGAGATTGTGACAAGCGGAGGCGACCAACAGGTAATGGAAGTATTTCACTGCTCTGGATTAACGCTTGAAAATATGTATGACTTGTCCTTCAAGGGTAGCAATTAGTCATGAGTCACAGTTGAAGTTTGTCCAAATGTATCCAAAAACCTTTTTGTGAAAAGAAATCCTGTAATTATAAAACCATTAGGTGATGTCACAATCTTATATTTAACTTTTAAAAGCAGGACTGTTGCAGATAAAAGGCAAAGAAAAAGCAGGACAAGAAAAAGGTTTATTCATGATATTTGTAATAAATATCATGCAATAAAAACTCTTATTATAAAATCTTCATCTGTATTATCAGCATGATTCTTCTTGAAGTTAAATAATTCAGTTTTTATCTTGATATTCATATTCTTAGTGGAATTATCTAAGTCTGTTTAAAAAGTGTCTCCTTCTAATGTTGGGAAAGATAAAGGACATTGTTTGCTTTAGTTCTCCCTTTCTTATCTTCTCATTCTCTCCAGCAGCCTAGGAGTCTCCAGGTGAACCACGGTGTGAGTCCACAATCGCCCCCATCTTCTGTCCAGCAGCCCACACCTACTCTGTGGGAGGAGGAAGAGAAGCAGAGGAAGATGGAGCAGGAGCGACAGCGGCAGGCAGCGGAGAGGAGAAGGAGGGAAATTCAGGAGGAGGAGGAGCGGAAAAGAAGGGAAGAGAGGGAGGAGGAGTTGAGAATGCAGAGGATGAAAGATGAAGAGCTGAGGAGGAAAGAGGAGGCCAGGGAGCAGGAGAGAAGGCAGCTGGAGGCGGCAGAGCAGCAGCGCAGGCAGAAAGCCTTTGAGCAGCAGAGGTGGTCAGTACAATAGAAATGCCCTTGCACCTCCTGTACTGTCCCAACACTTTAACTCGCATGACTTCCTATCATTTAGTGCGCTTTATTTGTTCATTAACTTAACTGCAACTAATACATTTGCTCTGCTTCGCCCCCCCCCCATCATCCCACCTGTCTGTGCATACTCCTGCTCACCAAAGGGCTGCTGTCTCCCACGACTTTGACAGTGCTCAGCCTTCGCTGTCCTTCACTGACAGGTCAGTGCTGCAAAAGCTTCAATGGTTTGTTGCATGCTCCTGCAGCCAAACTCCTCTCTGTAAGCCATAACATTTAAAGTGGTTATTGCATTGCTTTATTTCCTACATATTCACCCCATCAAACCCCATTACACCCCATTACTAACATCAAAGATTACAGTAATAAAAGGTTGGAAAAATGGATATAGGAACAACGCAGATTTGCACTTTATCAAAGTTATATTCAATCACAGATTTTTTTTTTAAGCAAACTTAGTTCCTCCTTTAGATTTAGGAGAAGCTCTCCAGGAGGACTTAAGCATCTATGTATGTCTTTGGCTCAGAGAAATAAACCCTGCATTCTCTCAGAATGCTACAGAACGAAAAGGCAGAAACGATGTGAAATACAGAGACAAATATCAAATATTATTGGCTGAGAGTGATAGTGATCCAACATAATACCTAGTAATCATTTTATTTAATTGTTTCTTTCTTTCTTTCTTTTTTTAGCTTGGGATAAAAATTATTTTTAACTGTGTTTGAAAAGATTTGACAGGACAAATAGAAAAAAAGAAAAAGAACAGTTGTAGGATTATTTGATCAGTTTAAGGAATTTGGTGGAGATTGAGATTACCCTGACTCTCCTTCTGCGAAATAACTTTACAGTGAGAACTAGAAATGGATTTAATTGTGTGTAGTAGCTTATAGGGGTTTGCAAACACACATTTTAGGCATGGATGTTACTTTTGGGCCTTTTGATCTTTGGGCAAAATCATACATAATGTTTAATCATACACTTAAAAAACATTTAAATAAATGGCATGTTGCACCTTAGGGATCATTAGTTTCAGAAGAATTGGAGGTCATTCCATTAGCTTAGCCAGCTATCTATTCCAAAACTAGGTTTGATGTATGTTTGGGCTCATTATCCAGCTGGAGCATCCAATCCAGCACTGGTTTTAACTATCTGACCTAAACTGCATTTATGAGATGCCGTGAAGTCACAAGTAAAATATGTAATAGCCTCATGAGAATGGGCCAAATGCTTTCTGGAAAGAGGTTACATGAAAAAATTAAACAAAATGTAACTAAATAGCCACTGCACGGTCAACTTAATTATGTTTATAGTCGTCAAGGTTAGGACTGCACAGTCTCATGCATTGTGGTGGCAGCATCATGCTGCGTGACTATTTCATAACCAGTTGTACTGGTGCATCACACAAAGCAGCTAAACTTAAATCTGTGAGTGGTCCCAACTTAATTCTTTTGAGAATTTCTGGTCCATGTTTAAAAAGTTAGGTCTCTACCAGTTCTTCCTAGAAGGAGAATAAAATATTTATACCAAGCTATGCTAATGTAGCAAAATGTTGGTGGCTACCAATATCAAAGGGTTTTAAATGCTACAAAATACCACACTGTTCCTTCATTTATTTAAAAAAAAATATTTATATATTTTTTATTTTATCTTAACAAAAGAAAATGTTATTAAAGCCTAAAACCAATATAACTTTAACTTTTATGGTGTTTGTGTGAACTTATATTTATAGGTGTACGTTTGTAATATGAATACGTACGTTTACCTAAAGTTCTTAAAAAATGCTTCTGGTAATACAAGTACAAATCTACCAAAATGGGAAAATAAATCATTTCTTTCTCTGTAGAGTTAGCTGCTTCTTGGTTCAAACCTTCAGATGTTAAAGTGGGTTTTACTGAGGTTTTGAGCTATGAAAAAATTCAAACCCTGCCCTTAGGAATGGAAACATTAAGGTTCAAACACCTGACAAGCTTTACCAGCAATGTTTGAACTGAGGGTTTGTTATAGCTTTTCTTTTCTAATTATGTTTTCAATCTTTTATTTGACAGGGCAAAATCTCAGTCGTCCCCCCAGCTTGATGAGGACGACAAGCCTCAGAGGAGAGGTCAGTTTAGCTCATTTACTTCTTCCTCCAGGTTCTTTCCTGAATGACTCCCATGTAGGTGTGTGTGACGACATGTGTGTGTGTGCGGGACCTGTTCCGCTGTGCGTAGGTGTGTTATTGCAGCCAGAGGGCACGTCTCTCAGGTTGCTGGAAGATTTGAAGATTTTACGTGCCAAAGAAACCCAAAGGCAGAGGACTGCATCATTGATGGAAAAGATAAACAACTTCAGAGCCATGAGATACGGAGAGGAAGAAAGAGGTCGGCTCGGTTCCTGGAAGCTCCGCCATCTATTCATTTTTATGAATCTCTCTCAGTCTGCTTCCATCATGATCAACTGATTTGTCGTTTCACTAAATCAAAATTCACAGCTATTTGATTTGCCCTGGACCAACAAAATGACACGTTAATCAGCTGGCTTAAGATAAAGAGACTCGATTACTGCACCCGCGGCAGAACAGAAGCTATTTGATTGCAATGAAATAACTTTCAGATACTTTTTTTTGTTAGGCATGATTAAAGTGATTTGTTTAGCAACCTGGAAAAGTTTTCATACCCCTTAAAGGATTTTGCAGAAACCTCAACATGATTTTATGACATAGATCAACAAGATTAGTCAATAAGAAGTTATTGAAGACATATTGTTGTCAACTGATGTCAGTAACAATCAATGCAACCCACACATACAAAGAAATCAAACCATAGACTTCTAGAAATTGATTTATGTGTAATAAAGTGAAATGACATAGGAAAAAAGGTATTGAACGCACTTTGGGAAATTTATTTAATACTTTGTACAAAAGCCTTTGTTGGCAATGACAGCTTCGAGACGCCTCCCGTAAGGAGAAATTAGTCGAATGCATTGCTCAGGTGTGATTTTGGCCCATTCTTCCACACAAACAGTCTATAAATCTTGAGGGCTTCGTGGACCCCTTCTATAATCTCTGATCTTTAGTTCTTCCAAAAGATTTTCTATTGGATTCAAGTCATGTGATTGGCTGGGCCATTATAGCAGCTGTATTTTCTTTCTCTTAAACGAGTTGAGAGTTTCCTTGGCTGTGTGTTTGGGGTCATTATCTAGATGAAATGTCCACCCACGTTTCATCTTCCTCATCCTGTGCAATTCATCAAGAATTGTACAGTTTTCCATTCATCCTTCCTTCAATTATTTGAAGTTTGCCAGTACCATATGCTGAAAAACAACCCCACGCCATGATGTTCCCACCTCCATACTGGTGGTATGGTGTTTTTGGGGTCATGTGCAGCGCCATTTGAACTCCGAACATGATGTGTATGCCAATATTTTACAGCCTTGTCTAAATGTTGTGCAGCAACCTTAACATGGGGCTTCAAAATGCTTTTTCCTCAGCAATGGAGTCTTGCGTGATGAGCGTGCATACAAGCCATGTCAGTTGAGTGCATTAGTTTCTGTTTTGTTTGAAACAATTATGCCTGCTAATTACAGGTCTTTCTGAAGCTCTCCACAATTGGTGTTATGCTCATGGATAACTCTTCCGGTTGCACCTGATTTTGGCCACAACAGTGCTCATTGGAAGATTCAGAAGTTTAGTAATCCCTCTTTAACCAATGCCATCATTAAGGTTGTGAAGGTCTTTAGAAAACCCTTTACTTTCACCCATCATGAGATTTTTGTAGTGTTATACTAGAAACACCTTTTTATAGGCCATAATTTGGGACTGAACCACCTGATATTAATTTGCACTGACAGGGGGCAGGATTGCTTTCTAACTACTGAGAGATGTCGGCTTGTGTCTTGGTTTTCCATGACTTTTTGCTCCTTCCTTTCTTCAGGTGTTCAATACTTTTTCCCTGTGCCATTCCACATTATTACGTACAACTTAATTTCTGGACAGCTATGGTTTGTGCGGATTGTGGATTGCATGGATTGTTACCAACATCTGGTCAAAATGTCCTGTCAATAGCACCACAAGAAACATATTTACTGAGAAAAATGGTGGCGTGTTCAATACTTATTTTACCCGCTATAGCTTTCAACCTTTTTTAGAAGACAAAATCTGAAAGATGTGTCTACATCTGTAGTTAGACCTCTTTACACCGATGCCCTGAAAAAAATTCCTTCAATTTAATAGAGTATGTAGAAGAACGTACAGAAGGTACATTTCCAAATTGAACATTTTGCAACATGCAAAGCCCTATTTGTGACAGCAATCAGCGCATCCCCCTAACACAGGTGAGCGTGGCATCAGGGATGCTGTTGTTCAGCCAGAATGGACATGCTGCTCACGTTTGATAAGAATATTGATGTAGGTAGATACAGGGCAAAAAAAAACTATCTTTATATATCAAATCGAGTTTGTGGAAGAACCAGAAAATTGATTTCGCTGATGCTCTTTATTCAAGCTGTCTCAGTTATTTCATAGAGAAGATAGGGCAGAAATTAAAGTCTTTTAGCAAAGGTTAGTAGAGCTTATAGAAGGATAGAGTAGCTGCAGAAAGATTTGCCGTTTGCAAAGAAAAGCAGTTCCTCACAGCCTTGACTCAGTGATGCTGAACGAATGAATGCCACAATTTATAGATGTCTTTGTGCTGCAAAGATTAAAAAAATATATTTATCTTTCACTTTTTTGATCTCATTAAATCTTTATAAAAACCTACTAAGGTTTGTTGGTATAGCATGGGGTATGAACACTTTTTCCATATATTGAACTCTTTCTGCTGTAGTGTATTAAATCATTAAGGAAAGTTTTATCTAGCAGAAAAGCATAATTTCATAAAAAACATTATTACACTGTTAATCTCTCCTTCCCAGATGCGGTGACAGGAAGCGGAGCTTCTGAGAAGAAGAGTCAACAGTCTCTATCCCAGGCTGAGTTGGAGCGGCAGCAGATCCTCAATGAGATGAAGAAGAAGACCCCTCTCTTGACGGACAACAGTTGGATCCGTCAGCGCGCCGCCAGCACAGCCATCAACAGGGAGAGCGAGGTGCCACCCATGCGCAGGTAGACAATTCCCCTCAATGGGTGGTGGGCGGTTCTTTACTGTTAATAAGACCTGGGGTACTAAAGCTGAAACATCAAACCGTCTGTCTACCTCATTGACATCCATTGAGCTCATTTGGTTAGAAATTTAAAACCAGTTGGTAGCCAGACGGTTTTTTTCTTTGACTAACATCTTACCGGATGGGTGTGGTGTGGGTTGGCTTTGCAGAGGGGAATCTCTTGACAACTTGGACTCCTACAATACTCGGCACTCGTCATGGACCGCCAGGAGCAACTCTTTTGCTCCAAACTACTCTCGGCCTTATTCTGGCTACTCTGGAAACTCTTCTTTTTATTCCGGAGTGTCGGGGGGCCGTCGGGCCGTTTCCTCCACTTTACCCTCCTCCTACTCTACTGACTCCCTCCGAGGTGGGGCAGGAACCCACCCAGCACCTTGGTCCCGTACACCCCTCTCCCCTTCTACTCCATCGCCAACCGTCTCTCCAGACCTCACATCTGAGGCTTATCAGCAGCGGAACAGGTAAAGACTAACATTGCCGTGTTTCTGAAGGCCCCCCAACAAGTTTCCTCTATCTTAACACTGGTATTTTTACATTTCATATTTATGAGGTGGTGTGGTTACAAAGGACATTCTTTTTCCCTCTTTTAACACATGTCAAGATTTTATTCTGTTTGTTTAAGTTTGCTTTTGGATACAGTATTTGAGTCTGTGGGTGGTTTATATCAGGTTGCAACAAAATTAACATTCAGATCTGTGCCTTAATACATTTCATTCTTGTCATACATACAGATCTGGGGTCTTGTTTATAAAGCAATGTACAATATCCATGACAGTGGTGCACTCAAGGATATATTTTACCCAAATTTTAAGATTAATTCAAATAATTTACATAAGAAATTCCCATAAACTTGGTTTGATGATTTTGACACATACCTATTAAACCTAACCTGACTCCGCCAGATGGATTTGCTCCGCATATCCATCTGGAAACCTTCTGTTGAAGTCATTTTGGGAAGGGGTGAAAATAC